GATTGATTATTCATTCTTTCCCTCGAGCAATTATTTTTGTGGTTCTCATATAACAAATTCATTATTTTATTAACACTGTTATTATTCGTATATAATCATGAAAACTCAAATTGTCTCACGTCGCTAATGCATTGTATCGTTCGTAATTGTTAGCATACTTCTGTGAAAAAGTTACCACACTGCGTTGCTGTTAGCTTGGAACTTATTCCGATAATATTTCTTTGAAACGAAAGCCCGTGCCGGATATTCTAGATTGCAAAATTTTCATGCGCGATATTGAGTTTAACTGGCGAAATTTGAATTTAATGAGCTCCTGGTCATTTGCCGACGGTCATGAATAAATGAGCTGGATGTTTCATGTTCCCAAAAGTTCACTCTGTGGCTATAAAATAGAAGTAATCACGTCGTTTTGATTCGAAATTTGTACGAATGTTTTGCTCGCTGACCAAAGGTGCTCTGGAAAGTTTGTTTTTGATTGCAGTTTGGAAAGTTGAGCATTGATTAGTTGAACTCAGAATGAGAATTGATACAAAGCCGCTTGTTACGTGAATGGTCATCTGCGATTGTTTGATGAACTGAGATGAACTGAAGATGATGAAGTGAATTGCTTTGATGAGTAAAATGTTTATTTTAAGACGGAGCACGATGTCAGCATTCTCGCCGTCTGCGAATAGCAGCTCTCATCATCACAGTCATAGCCATAATGGATCAACACCACACCATAATATCTACACCAGAATTAGTGATGCTACCGATATCGAAATGGGATGCACTTCACCGTCGAAGGGGTATCGTTCTTGTTCTATCACCACCACCACTAAACTGCGATATTTTCGTTGAACAACTCATCTTGTGTGACACAAGCCTTTCACCTAACACTGTTTATGGGAAAACTAAAGCCAAAGCCAAGATGGGAAAACTAAAACCAAAACAAAGCCAAAAATTATGCGGTAGACATAATTCTTTGCCAAGCACTAGCATATTGACTATTGTATTCGATTGCTTTTCGAATGTGTTTATGCGATGCAATTTGATTCAGTAATTTTTTTGTGGCATGCTGAAACAGTCAAATACTTAATTATTGTCCAGTCACAGATTCATCGATTCATTCCGTGAAAGGATGACATTCAGACGTCGTCGAGATTCAGCCAATACATCAAGCTTCGAGGCGGAAATGTTAGAAGAAGGTTCATTTCACTCTCACTTTCTTGTGCTTTCACTAAAAACATATCAACTCGCAGAGCACTTTTTGTTTATTGGTAGCCGTAATGGGTTCTGAAGTCTTACATGAGCGCTGTGTACGAAAACTTTTAGTTGTTGGGACTGCGTTCTGAATGTTTTCAATTCGTTACGTATGTAAACGGTCGATGTGATTGTTACAGATTTGGGTTTTCCACCAGCCTATAGTAACGCTCCACCAGGAGTGCAATACGGCCAGTCGGTACCATCAGATGCGGCATTCTTCAACATTGATTTCCGTAGTCGTTCACGTTCGGACGCCACTCCAATATCGACGCATAAAATGGG